CTAAGCATTCCTTTGCCAGCTTACTCAAATGCTACAGTAGTTGCAGTATTCCATCTCTTCCATCTGGGGGGAAAGAGTGAAAAACCCACAAGAGGTTTCTGACTCTTTTTTTCTTTCCAGCCCACTCTGGAAAAGCCTGCATGTATGTGATACATATCTGTCACCACGTTGATGGATTCCATACAATTGCAGGATTTAAAAAAGAACTGGGATCAAAAGCCCAAACCACTCATCTCCTTCTCTTCCAGGCATTTTTGTTGTTACTATGCTTTCATCCTGGAAAATACAGGAAGAAGTCTCTGCAATTTTCTGGTCACACTTTCGGAAGTGGTTTTTCCTTGCCTTTTCCCAAGGATTGGCCCAAACAAGCCCACAGCCTTCAATATCTTATAACATTTAAGATTTCTGGCATCTAATTCAATATTTTTAACTACCAGACCTACCAAATTGGCTCCACTTTTTTACTAGTTTGCTTAGAAACTAAGCTTCCCCTTCTCAAAACAAAACAAAACAAAACCATGTTTTGGATCCAGTTAAAGTGAAAGCAGGCTCTCATAAACTTTAATCAATATTTAATCTGGCCTGGGGTGAAATCCGTTTTCACACTGCTTTGCTTCCAATTTGAGAGCCTCCCATACAGGAATCGATGAACCTCACCATTTTAAAAATGTGTGTGTGTGTGTGTGTGTGTGTGTGTTTTAAGTTGGCAATCCAACCTGGGAGATAAAATACTGTATTCCCGAAGCCTTTCCTGAGATCCACACCCTCTGTTTTTGCTGGTTAAAATACTAATTCTTAAAAAATGTCCAGGTTAGACACATTAACAGGAAATCTCATGAAACTCATCCGGGCTTACTTCAGAGTAAAAGCGAGCGAATTACACCTGCCAATGAGTTAACTGCATACCTGTAGATCCGTCTTCCGGGAAAGGCCGAATTAAGAAGAACCGATTTAGTTGCAAGGTACATTGGTGATGAAGGTGATGATGATGAAGCATTCGTTGGGAATAAAGTGGAAATTATCACGGGCTTTTAATCTTTTTTTTAAAAACCGCAGTTGTTCATAGCGGAGGGAAGGGAGGACAGATGGGAAGGCATATTATTTATTTAGCGGGAAGGAAGGGGGTAGAGAAAGGGGGAAAGGAAAAAAGAAAGAAAAGGAAGAAGAGAAAGGAGCGCAAAAGGAAAGAAAAGGTTCCGTTCTTAAGTGTCTGGCTTGTTCCCCTCGTGAAAGAACCTGCGGTTCTTCTGGGCCTGCATCCTCGTCGCCCGCTCGGAGTTCGTCTAACCGCTCCGCCAAATTTTCTTTCTCTTCCTTTTAACTTCTGCCTTCCCAACTCGCCCGTAGGCACCCCTGTGGCTATATATCCGCTCCCCAAGACTCCGCCGGCATCTGGTCCGCTTCCTCCGGGCGAGTCGGAACCAGGAGGGGGAAAGCCACAATGCGCTCCCCCGGGGCAGACCCGACGTATTTGCACCTTCTTCCCCGGAAACCGTGGAGATGGAAAGCTGGCTGAGACAGTGGGGGAAGATTATCCCGCTAGAGCAGGGGTTCTCAACCTTGGCAACTTTAAGACTTGTGGACTTCAACTCCCAGAATTCCTCAGCCAGCTTTGCTGGCTGAGGAATTCTGGGAGTTGAAGTCCACAAGTCTTAAAGTTGCCAAGGTTGAGAACCCCTGCGCTAGAGGGAATCTTAGCAATTTGGCTGGGAATCCCGGGGACTGTAGTTCAGACACGTCTGCAGGGCTGGGGAGAGCTTGGGAAAAAAGAAGGCGAGACGGCGCGGTCTGGTAGGAGAAAGGAAAGGAGGTCGGTAGAGCTGAACAGGCTTGCTTTGAAAAAGAACGGCTTTCACAAGACGGGTGTACTTCTGGATCTCATTTTCTCGCATAGGATCCCGGACCTCAGTTACCAAACGGCCTGGGTTCCCACAACCACACAGGCAGCCTCGTTCACGGTAGCCTGGCGTGGGGATATACGGCCGCTTGCTCTGCAACAAACCCGGTTTAACGTCGACCAAACGGCCCGCCTTTGCACAACAGGCTAAAATATGCCCCCCTCCCCCCGACAATCACCCACCAGGATTCAAAACGACGCCTCCTGGTCCATTTGTCCCCGAGCCGGCTCTGGGCTTTGGGTAAAAAGAACCGACCCTCTGTGCCTTGGGGGGGGGGGTCAGTTTCCTATTTTTCCTTCCCTCCCCCCCCACCTCCCCGAAATTACAGGCCCAAGAGAAGCAGATTTGGGCTTGAACGAAAAAAAAAGCGGTTTAAAAGTGTTCGTTGGTGCATCTGGTGAGTTCAGCTGCTGAGCTGTCTAGATGGGATCGGGGTACCCTCCCTCTCCCCTCCCCTCCCCCCCCGACCAAGGGCCCCCGGCCGAGGGCTCTTCCCAGCAGCTCAGAGGTTAAGGGCGGGGAAGCTAGTCCGCCGGCTCTCCACGGAGCACCGAGAGAGTCGTGGCGGCGGTAGGAGTAGCAGAGGACTCGTGTCCCCATCCGGACAGGGCTGCGGCTTTGAAATGCCGGCAAAAAAGACGGACGGGCCTCCAGGTTGCCGACCGCACGGCCACCTTTCCCGCCCTGCCACCAGCTTCCCCTCCCCGGAGGCCCTCGGGGGAAGCAGCTGGTGGCCGGTAGTTCCGTGGGCTCCAGCGAGCAACCGGGGCCCCTTTGCAATTCGTTTCGCGTTCGGTTTGGAGAAAAGCGGACGGAGAATAAAGCGCCCTCCCCCCCCCCCGAACGCTCTCTAACCAGCCAGCCTTTGTAGGCTGCTCCCCGCCGGTCCTTCTGCAGAGCGAGAGAGTTCACACGACCTTTAAAAACCCGAGAACGCCACGGGATCTCTGCGCTCAACTCGCAGGCCGTGCCCCACAACTCTTGGATCGCGGTGCGGCTTATATAGGGATGGCGGCTTGTTTTCCCCCCAATAGCCACACAGGGGCCAGAGCACCTTAACCCTACCTGTATCTTCTCTTCTGAAAAGGCTCTCGTGGAATTAGAACAAAACTTAACGGTGGGCCAATATTCCCAACTTCCTAGGTCAGGGGTAGGCAACCTTGGCTCTTTTATGACTCGTGGACTTCAACTCCCAGAATTCCTGAGCCAGCACAGCTGGCTCAGGAATTCTGGGAGTTGAAGTCCACGAGTCATAAAAGAGCCAAGGTTGCCTACCCCTGACCTAGGCCCTAGGATGAACCGGAGAAGCTGCTGGAGCGGCGCTTGACGAATTCTTCACCCCCGCCTCGTTTAGCCTGTTGTGCAAAGGCAGCTTCTGCTTAGGCTTAGAAAGGTCGTCGGAACCCGGTCAAAGAAAGCGGAACCGCCGCTTGGCAGAAGGGAAGGGAAATCCAAGTCGCGCTCTCTCCTTGGGATCGCGGGGAGATCCGGGAGAACCGAATAGGACCGGATTTCGGGCCATATGCGAAGGCCAAGAGGCTTAAAGCGATTGGGGAGAGAACCCATTTATATCTCAGCACCCCGAAGTAATAGAATATAATGGCCCCATTCCACCAACAGGTTAAACTAAGCTGTGGTGTTGTTCGCTGGGCGGATATGCGGTGAAAGGTGTATTTGACCTGCTTCAGAGGTTTACACCAACCGAGTCAAGAGGCGGGAAGGCACAGGCCGTCCTTAACGCAATGCACATTTCAAGCAGTTGTTGTTGTTCCGGTGGAAATCCGCCGGTTGGCTTCACAGCACGCAGACTGGCATGCTACAACCGTGATAACGTAGTTAGCAAGTCACCGAGCCTTCTGACCGTACCGTGATCCCCGGGGTGAAAAAAAAAGTCCCAAACCAGGACCCAACGTGATGGCCTCGTTCACACGACGCTAAGAGTTCGCGACCTCTTTTTTTTTTTCCCCTTCGGGCAAATCCTGGGGTACGGTTGAACGGGCAGGAAATGTTAAACCCTGGCCGTCCCGGGTATGAGATCAGTTGGGCTGGATTCACACAACAGGCTACCGGAGGATAAAAGAGGGTTAGGGGGTCGTTTAAGACAACCGTTGCCTTTGCATAACCGTTCTGCGGGAACCGGGCACGTAGGAACAGCGCCTCTGCGGTTTGCTTGCCCGGGTTTAGAGTTTCTTCCACGCGTCGTGTGAACCCCGCTAACCCTTCGAGTTTTGCAGCCTTCCCGTTACAGCAGTGTTTCCCAAACTTGACCATTTTAAGGCATGTGGACTTCAACTCCCAGAATTCCACAGCCAGCGTTGCTGGCTGTGGAATTCTGGGAGTTGAAGTCCACATGCCTTAAAATGGTCAAGTTTGGGAAACACTGCGTTACAGCTAGGCGCGTTCGTTCTAGGAAAGCCTTCCCTAGCCCGACGGCTCGTCTTCTCAGCCCTCCCCCCCCACGCGGTTTGGACTACAGCTTCCATCTCCCCAGCCACGCTGGCCAAGGACGATGGGCGTTGTAACCAAACCCGTCCGAAGAGCACCCGGTTACGAAAAGACGGCTATGCTTTTCGCAACCCGGCTGGTCCATCAAAGCGTCCTCGGGGCAGTCAATCCACGTTTGGAGAAGGGAATCGATTGGTTCTGCGGGGGGGGGGGAGGAGGGGGAAAGGAAGCGCTAGAACAGTGTTTCCCAAACTTGACCATTTTAAGGCATGTGGACTTCAACTCCCAGAATTCCACAGCCAGCGTTGCTGGCTGTGGAATTCTGGGAGTTGAAGTCCTCATGCCTTAAAATGGTCAAGTTTGGGAAACACTGTTCTAGAAGAGAGAAGCAGAAAGAAGGGGAGAAAAAAAAAAAACCTCTCTGGCCCCAAAGCAGCCTCCGCGGCCGCACGTTTTTTTTTTTTTTTTTTTCCCTCTTTCCAAGGAAGCGGGCGGGGCTGCTTCGGAAAGGGGCGGGGTCCCGGCAGACGCCGCCCTTCCCGCCCCGCCCCGCCGCTCTGAGTGGCTGGCTGCGCCGCCCTCCCTCCGCCCCGCGCCCCGCCCCCTGGCCGCCTCTGTGTAAATAAACTTTGAAGAAAGAGATCAAGAAAAGGGAAAAAAAAAAAAAAAAAAACGGAAGAAGGGAAGGAGTCAGTATGTAACCGCGGCCACTTTTCGGCTGCTGCCAGACGCGCCGAGAGGAGGCGGTTTAGGAGGAGGCCGGCGAAGGGCGGCCGGGCGGGCAGGCAGAGCGAGCGAGCGGGGCGCCTGGCGTGCTTGTCAGGCGGGGCAGGAAACGGGGGCAGCGAGGCCGGCGGAGAGAGCCGAAACCTGTTGAGGTCTCGCCGCCGCGGACTGGGGGGGAGAGAGAAGCCGCCGAGCCGAGAAGCGCGGGATGTGGCTGGCTCGCCTCCCCGCCCCTCCGTCCTGACCGCGCGAGGGAGGCCGAGCGCTGCCCCGCCAGCCAGCCCGCCCGCTTGACTTGGACCGAGCCGCGTTTCTTTGGACTGGCTTCGGCCGACCGCCCCCGGCCTCCCCGCCGCGGACGCCCCGGGACCGCCACGCCGAGCGGCGAGAGGACGCGCGCCGGAGCTGCCCTCTCGGCCCCGCCAAGGTGCCCCAGCCCGCCGCCTGGCCGCGAGCCCCGCCGGCGGCGAGGAGCCCGAGAAGCGCGACGGGGCCCCGGGAAGACGCGCCGCCCGAGGAGCGCCTGGCGGCCGGAGCGGCCGGGACTGGTAGCGGCGGCAACGGCCCGACCTGCGGAGGCGCCTGGGGCGGCTTCCCTCCGCGCCTGGCTTCGGAGCGGCCCGCCGTGCGCTGTTGGGCACCTGGCCCGTTGCGCCCTGGGCGCGCGTTTGCCTCGCCTCTCGGCCAGCAGCAGCAGCAGCCCCGCCGCCGCCTCCTCCCTCCTCCTCCTCCTCCTCCTCCCCTAACGCCCGCTGTTGTGATGCGTATTCCCGTAGACCCCAGCACCAGCAGGCGCTTCACACCTCCCTCCACGGCCTTCCCCTGCGGTAAGATGGGAGAGAACAGCGGCGCCCTCAGCGCGCCCATCCCGGGACCTCGCAGCCGGCCCGAGGCGCGCTCGGTGGTGGACGTCCTGGCCGATCACCCGGGCGAGCTGGTGCGGACCGACAGCCCCAACTTCTTGTGCTCGGTGCTGCCTTCCCACTGGAGATGCAACAAGACCCTCCCCGTGGCCTTCAAGGTAAGCCGGGAGGGGAGGCTGGGGCGGAGCGGGCGGGACCCGGGAGAGGCGCGCAGATGTTTCCTGCCGAGCGGGCTTCCCGAGGCGCCCCGGGAGGACTCGCGGTTTAACGGCCAAAGCAGCGGGATGGGCGCTGGGCGGGCAGGGGCAGGGGGGGAAGGTAGGCGAACCCACCACCCATCCCCGGGCAAAAGGTTTGCAGGCTTAGCCAGCAGCTCCCGCTTCCCCCCCCCCCTCCCAGCCAGGCAAAGGCCCCGCGCGCCATTCTGCAAAAACGGGCGAAGGAGTTCCTCCCCCCCTCCCCTCCCCAGACCTTGGCAGCCCAAAAAGCGCTTTTAATTTCCTGCGGGGAAACCGCAAAGCTGACTCCCAGGCGGCTTCCCTAAAGGTTCATCCCAGAAGCCTGCGGTACTCCCTGCGACTTGCTTCCGCCAGGGGTTGGCCGCTATCCCTCGGCCGCCGCTCGGCTCTTGCCGACCCTGTGGAGGGCGGCAGCGGCGTCTTCGCCCACCCAGCTCTCCGGATTTCCCGGGTCGTCCCTAGTCGACGAGCAGGCCCGGACAGGTCCGGAGACTTGGGGTGCGGAGGGTGAGGCTGTTGGAGAAGAGTCGTTCGATTTTTTGCGGACGCTACAAGGCCCGCAAGGGAGCCCCCCCCCTCTCCTCCGCCGGGAAGCTAGCCAGGGTTAAAGAAAAGTCCCAGTTCGGCCAAAGGCCGCTTGGAACCCCTTTCTGTAATTCAACCTCCCCTAGTCGGGCGTAAAATAATCCACCTCGACCATCTCCCGCAAACCCGGTTCCAAATCTTTTGTTTTTTTTTTTTTTTCTTTCTCTTTCCTCGCCTCGCGGTTAACGCTCGAGGCGTTCTACAGTCCAAAGAGCGCAAGGCAATGTAAAGCGACCGTGAAATTTAAATACACCACGATGACACTCTATATAATATCCCCGCAGAGCACAATCCTTACAAATAGCAAGAACAAGCAATCCAACTCAGCCTCCAGCTAAAAAAAACCTCCCCTTTTAAATAAGCCAGCGCTTCTGATTCAACGTCGGAAGGGCTGACGGTGTCTCAAACCTGCCAAGACGCCCAGATTGTCCGACCGGAGTCCCGGGAGAAGGAAGGGAATTTCTTTGCAGGCCGTCCCGCGGTCTCTCCCGAACGTGGACCGGCGGCGGAGATGGCGATCTCCGTGGGCCTTTTCCTGCCAGGAAAAGCGGAAGAAAATGCCTTTTTTCAAAGCGGGGGGGGGGGCGGGGGGAGAGGAAGGAGTCTTTCTCAAGCGGGAGAGATGTTTGCACCTATTGGAATTCCATACGTGGGGAAGGAAAAACAACTAAATTTTTCTCCGGGACACCCTCCCAAACCCAACTTTGGCGTCATAGTTAAATTTACACAGGGCTCTTAAAAAAACACGGATGGATGGATGGATGGATGGATAGACAGAAGACAGACAGACAGATAAATGACGATGATGATGGAAAATAGAAATTAGCAAGCAAAAGAGAAAGAGACGATCAAGGGAGAGAGATGATAGATGATAGATATACAATAGATGATTAGATAGATAGATAGATAGATAGATAGATAGATAGATAGATAGATAGATAGATAGATAGATATGGATAGATATAATGAGAGATATAGATGAGAGAGAAAAATGGGCAGCTACGTCCCTCTGTCAACTAGGCAGGCAGGCAGGCAGGCAGGCAGGCAGGCAGGTAGGTAGGTAGGTAGGTAGGTAGGTAGGCAGGCAGGCAGGCAGGCAGGCAGGCAGGCAGTTGTTTCTAAAACGAATAAACGACTGTATGTATGTATGTTATTTAAGTAGCCGTTCAGCTCACATAAGTGGGCTTCTTACAAGATTAAAAAAAATAACACACACACACACACACACACACACACACCCGGGCCAAAAGAAACACAACTCCTCTGGCGTCTACGGATAAACCGCGAACCAGAGCCGGCCTCCGTCTTGACCCATTAGCTGCTGGGGAGAGCAGACCGGACTTCTGTCCCTGGTGGAAGGCTAGCCGAGGCTGGGCTTCCTACGATCGCCCTTTCCACACGCCGCAGGCCGAGATTTCGGCCGGATTCCTCTAACACCCCGAACCCTCCATCGGCCAACCCCTATTGTGTCCGAGCGTCTCGTGTGAACCCGGACCGTCCCCTCCAGCTCTCCGGGATTGAAACGCGACGCTCGCTCACCCAACTCGACGTCTAGGCCGCGTTTTCTTCCCCGGCGGGCAATCGAGCTTTCCCTCTAGGCGTGGCGGGAAAGTAAAAGTGAAGGTAACCCCATCGGGAGCCCTCAGAAAACTAGCGCTAAGCTCAAAGGCTGCCTGGAAATGGAGGTGAGGCGTCTCCCCTAGAAAGAACAAGATTTCCCAGAAATATCCAGGAGTCCAAAAATTTAGGAGAATGACGCATGCCTAGAATTAATCTTTCTTTCTTTCTTTCTTTCTTTCTTTCTTTCTTTCTTTCTTTCTTTCTTTCTTTCTTTCTTTCTTTCTTTCTTTCTTCTCCTTCCTTCCTTCCTTCCTTCCTTCTCTCTCTCTCTCTCTCGCTTTCTTTCTTTCTTTCTTCTCCTTCCTTCCTTCTCTCTCTTTCTTTCTTTCTTTCTTTCTTTCTTCTCCTTCCTTCCTTCTCTCTCTTTCTTTCTTTCTTTCTTTCTTTCTTTCTTCTCCTTCCTTCCTTCCTCCTCTTTCTTTCTTTCTTTCTTTCTTTCTTTCTTTCTTCTCCTTCATTCCTTTTCTCTCTCTCTCTTTCTTTCTTTCTTCTCCTTCCTTCCTTCTCTCTCTCTTTCTTTCTTTCTTCTCCTTCCTTCTTTCCTTCCTTCCTTCTCTTTCTCTCTTTCTTTCTTTCTTTCTTCTCCTCCTTCCTTCCTTCTCTCTCTCTCTCTTTCTTTCTTTCTTTCTTTCTTCTCCTTCATTCCTTTTCTCTCTCTCTCTTTCTTTCTTTCTTCTCCTTCCTTCCTTCTCTCTTTCTTTCTTTCTTTCTTCTCCTCCTTCCTTCCTTCCTCCCTCCCTCCCTCCCTCCCTCCCTCCCTCTCTCTCTCTCTCTGTGTGTCTGCCTGTGTCTCTCTTTCCTTTCCCCCTTTTACAGTGCCAACCTCTCCTCTCTCACCAAAAGGCCTAACGAAACGATACACACAAACATGCACAACTGTTGTAAGGCTGACTTTATTTTCAAAAAAAGCGCGAGATTCCTCTCTTTTGAGGCCGGGCCTTCTCCTCCTCCTTTTCCCACTCCGGTCGGCTCTCTTGCCGGCGCTTCTCTTCGGCTTCGCTTCCGCGGTTTGTTTGTTTTCTGGTTTAAAAGGGGAAGGGGGGGGGGGTTCGTGTAAAGAAGGAAGGGGAAGGCTGGCAACCTCAAGCAACGCCACCGCCTTCAATTTTGACTTCAACTTCTAGTCCTCAGGGCGACTGCCGGAAAGGGGGTGATGGGTGGGCGTTATTTTAGCACCGCATTCGCACGGTTACTTTTGTTAGGTTAGGCAAAAATGCAGCCGGCCTTCCAGCCCTGGTCCCATTCAGATGTAGCGGAGTTTTACTTCCATCCCCTTAGATCCGCGGCAGAGCCGTTGTGCGTAGTCAGGCCTATGTGCCGTAGGGAAACAATTGCATAAATGCAGGGGACTGCAACCTTGACCACTTTAAGACTTGTGGACTTCAGCTCCCAGAATTCCTCAGCCAGCATAGCTGGCTGAGGAATTCTGGGAGCTGAAGTCCACAAGTCTTAAAGTGGTCAAGGTTGCAGACCCCTGCATTCATTAATAAACCGTGTCCCAATTCTCAGGCCAAAGGGAAGAAAAGAACCCCTTTTTAAAATCACTTTTAAATATGGCACTCGAGAGTTAATCCTTTCATCTCTTTCTGCGGGCGGCTTGGAATCAAAACCGAGGCTGTAGATCCCCGCGCTTCCTTAGTTAGGCGTTCAGACGAGCCGCGTCTCCGCTGCCACGGGTGCTCAACCGGAGCGGGTCTGTCCTAGGCGGCGTCGTTTTTCTTCTTGCTTACAATCTACTGGAAAGTTCGGCGGGGGGAAGGGGACGCATCTCTTGAACCGGGACCTGCCATAGGGTCAAGAGAAGCGAGCCTCCTTGCAGGTAACCGGGTCGCCCCCGTCTTCTGCGTTCCCCCTTTTTCCTCCGGCCGCTGCTGGTGCTTCCCGCTCTTCCTTCTCCGGAGGATTTCCAACAAGGTTGAGAAGCCAAAGAAACTAGGAGAAACTAACTTTTTTTCAACCGAGCGGCTGGCTTTTTTCCTTTCTCTTTCTCCGCTTCATAAATATTTGCGCCTCGGTTCTTCCCGCTAACTTTTCGAGGCTGCGGAAACCGCGGCTTTGGTTTGACCGAATCCTATTTCTTTCCTCCGGAGCACCGAGATCCTGCGGGGACGCGGTCTCCAAAGCCTTTCCCCATTTCCCATCTGCCCGAATCCTGATCCCTGAATTCACCCTTGTCCCGATTCGCAGAGTATCTCGAACGCCGAATTCGCGACATTGCCCACATAGCGGAGACCAAAGTAAAGTTTAAAGCGGAGACGATTCCTACAAGCTGTTTCTCCGTTTTCTGCTTTGGTTGGTGCTAAGATTCCCAGCCCCCCCCCCCCGAATCCTAGAAGCCGGATTGTCTTCCCTAGAAGCCCTTTGCTCCAGGTCTCCCCAAGGTTGCCAGATAAATCGTGTTATCGCTTTCTAATGTTTTGCAACACCAGTATAGACAGGTGTAACAGAAGCAACCGCAGCATTTTGAAGTACCGTAACTGTTTCTTGATGGGCTGCCAAGGTGTAGAATAATGCTTACTAACAGCAATAGTAGCACCAGGTAGCCTCTCAGAGGCGTCCCGATCGGAAAGATGCAGAAATCGAAACAAATGAATTAAAAACTAATTTGCAGGCAGTGCAGAGAGAGAGCGAAGGCGGAGTTGATTTACGGGCAAGGAGGCCAAAGCAGCCACTTCGCCCCGAGGACTAAATAGCAACTAAATCAGTGTTTCTCA